CCCCGAACGCCCGAACGTTCGGGGGCCAGCCCGGCGCCCCCCAAACGTTCGGTCAGGTAACCCTGATATTATGTATATTTTATATATCGTATATATATAGATAGATAGATAAAGTAGGGATGGAGACGGAAATTGATGTGATGGGCACTGGTGACCACATCACATCATCTTGGAAAGAAGCACTCGGTGTAAAAGCGCCACGTGGCAATCACGTTTGCAACGTGGAGCTACCGCGAGTGCCAACTCATGCGCGGCGAACATGATGCACGAAGCTGGAGACTTCCTGAATTTTTTTTTTTTACTGGAGGGCGGCCATGGCAATTTCAAGGTTTTTTTTTCCCGAAATAGAAAGGGCGACGGCCTTGCGATATCACCATTGAACGGACCAGCCCGTTCAATGGTAATTCAGAATTACTGTATGTCCAATGGTAATTCAGAAATACTTTATGTCCATCTGTTAGTTAATCTGATTGCATTTGGATTCGAACTTGGGTCAACGCGATTTCATCAGTTCCAAGGGTGCACCAAAACGCGAAGGGATGGACAACGCGAAATAGCTGCGTCAAAGGAGGGAGAAAATAAAAATTAGATTTACAGTAATATAGTAGTAATACAGTAAGTGTTACGACGTGCGGTTCTTCGCGCCAAGACGATGAGAAGGGAAAACAAAGATATATAATACACAAGTAATAAAAAAATAGAGAAGCTAAAGAAGGGGACAACGGGGGTAGCACTTCCGAAAAGCGAAAAAAAAGATCGAATGCAAAAAAAAAAAAAAACAGAGATCAAACACTGGTTGCTAACAAACCAAGAAGAAAACAAAACAAACCAAGAGGAAAAAAAAACAAAAATAAAAGTACATAAATAACGAAAAAAAAAAAAAACACCAAGAAAAAACGTATCGCTTTCAACTCTCTTTATAAGAAAGAAGAAAAAGAGAAAACTGGAAGGCAGAAGCACCAAAGGATCTCTCTCTCTCTCTCTCTCTCTCTCTCTCTCTCTCTCTCTCTCTCTCTCTCTCTCCCCTCTTCTTCTCCTTTTACAAGATACTTCTCGTCTTGATTTGCCACCACCAGCAGCTGAAAATAGCGCACATATGGAGCACCTATGCACATTTGATCGTTTGAGATCTCGACCCACCCATGACGGGGCATAGCGACCATGACCTCGATCCATCACATACTCCCGCTCACGCCTTCCCAATCCCGATGACCTCCATCCGCGCACACCATTTCAACCTGCTTCCATCCGATATTGATTCCTGAACCCATTCTATTCTCTACTCATTATCCTCATCCCGATGCGGCATGATCCCGACTTGCTCATCCCTGTCATCCGAACTCCGTTACCACCTCTCTCTCTCTCTCTCTCTCTCTCTCTCTCTCTCTCTCTCTCTCTCTCTCTCTCTCTCTCTCTCTCTCTCTCTCTCCGTGTGTGTGTGTGTGTGACTGACGGACACACAAAAGTCCATGGGCCCCATTCGTCAGCCCCAACCCCATCCCTCCCCTTTCCTCGGCTAACCGAGCCACCGAAATCGTGAGCGTTCCTGCCAGACAAGCGTGGCTGTGGTCCCCACCCCAACGAACGAACAACAGTGTGTGTGTGTGTGTGTGTGTTTTCGCGTGCGTGCATGAGAAGCTGTAAGTGCGCCTGCAAACGTGCGCGCGTGAATATGGACGCGTCCGTGTGTGGATCCCCTACCGTCTTTACCCGAATAGAACGCCCGGTCATTATAGCCGTGTTTTTGGGGCAACGTTCAGTCCAGGCCCAGCGATAATGACCGGGCGTTCTATTCGGGTGACGACGGTAGCCAGCATATTACAGTATCAACCCGCTTCGCACTCTCATCAAGCGATGTCAAAATATCATCCCCTCCTTCTCTATGGCCACTGTTTTCACTATTCTTCAAATCCCTACCCCCTGAACTCAAGAGATCAGACGTCAATCGCTTCCCCTTGACGCGAATCGACTTGGTTCCCACAATTTTGGAATAAAGTAATATCCAAATCATCGCCCACTCCACCACTCCGCCCCTCCGCTCCGTCCCCCTCTGCCCTCCCCTCCCGCCAATCCGCCCCCTAAGCCCCACTTGACTGCACGCTTCTTCAGCCGATCGCCTGGAAGCTCGAATCCTCCCCTAAACCCCTTCGTTAAATAGCCTCCTAAACCCCTTTTTTGTTCAATTGCCTCCTAAACCCCTTCGTTAAATAGCCTCCTAAACCCCTTCGCTGAATAGCCTCGTGAACCCCTTCGTTAAATAGCCAGCATCATACAGAGACGGGAACGAGAGAAGAGGAAGAAAGAGAGAGACCCCTTCCCTGGTTCTTTGTCGGTATGTCCCGCCATCTTCGCTTCCCGTGTGTTTTGCTGTCCCATCTCACACAGAGAGAGAGAGGACTTTAGCTAGGGAGGAAGAGCGAGAGCGAGAGCGCTAGACACAGACAGATAGACAGACAGAGAAAGAACTCAAATAACCTGAGAGTATATTAGCCATCGAAACACTCGCTACCGTCAACGCATTCTAAGCCGGCACAACTTGTGAAAACTACGTGTTTCGGATGTCAAAAAGAATCACCTGCTTCGCCTCGTTCGGGCACTCGGGTCTCCATCCTCAAAACAGGCACCCGAATTCAACACCCCTTCTTCCCCGTTTCCCGCAAACACCTCCGTGACTCTTCGTCCACGTCCCCCTGCCTTTTAGATTGTGTGTGTGTGTGTGTGTGTGTGTGTGTGTGTGTGTGTGTGTTGTCATGTTCGCTATACACAACTCCACAAAAAAAGCATGACTGTGCTAGACTGTTCCATCGGACTTTCACCGACTCATCAGGAGGTTGCGTGTGGACGTAGTTGTGCTTTGTTTGTTTGTTCGTTTGTTGCTTTGTTTGTTTGTTTGTGTGTGTGTGTGTGGAGCGTGGGTGGGTGGGTCGGTGGGTGAGTGGGTGAGCGGATTTGTGTGCGAGAGAGAGAGAGAGAGAGAGAGAGAGAGAGAGAGAGAGAGAGAGAGATCAACTATGTAACTCGAAAAGCAGTTGAGGAAATACTTACGGCTGTTGAGGCACAGGAATTGCAATGCCGTCCAGTCTCGGCAGACCTTCAAATTTGTAACAATGTACCAATCTAAGGACGACAGCATTGCTGATAGATGCGTGAACAGCAGGAGATATGTACGGTGAAAAGATCTATGGCGGCAGAAAGTGCAGGAAGAGCATAAGCAATGGAACGCTTCGCCTCATGTACCACCTGCACAAAATTCTGTGTGCGCGTCCACGTGGGTATGTCCGATCTGTTCGAGGCTGTATGGTTTTGTGTGCGTGCGCGTGTGGGTGTGTGGGTGTGTGTGCGCATCCGTGCGTGCCTGTCTGCCCATGGCCCCCTGCCACAGTTCTCCGAAGAACTGAAAAGGAAAGAGCGGGAGCCGAACGGCGGGAGGAAGCCCACCTCTGTGGGATGCCCCTCCCGATTTTGGAGATCCCGCCACGCTTCTCTGCTTTTCGGCCTCGCCACCACACCACTCTGAAAATGTGGAAAAGACAAAAACGTGGCGGGCGCATCTGGCCATCTTCTAGCAGGATGTTCATTCTCATGTTGCACATTTCGAGAGTGCTGTGGCGATGCCCTCCTGTTTTTTCGCCACACTACCGTGCTAATCTTTTCTGTCCCGTATCCGGCTTTCCAAGAACAAGCTTCAACCCCGAGTACGTTTCCCAGCCATTTTTTCAGAGTCGCTGTTGCGTGCATACCGCAGCAACCCGGCGCCTGCAGCCGTGACTCTCTGGAAGTACGGGGCCAGGTCCCACTAAGGTACCAGCGTTGAGTTTCCTCACTCATAGGCTGAATCTGGACGTGTTTTCGGAGATGTGCAAAAAATCGCTTCTGAGTTTCCTCAATCGCACATCCACACAAACGCGTCCAGATTCAGGTATCGAGGAAGCACAACGCGGCCGGGGCGCCTGCAGCTGCGAGTCTAAGGGGCAGATCCCACTGCTTCCCGTTTTCTTTTTTTTTACTTCTTTTTTTTTACTTCTTTTCTAAAAGGGCGACGGCCTTGAGGCCTAACTCAATAGGTTAGGCACGCAAGTGGCATTCAGGAGGTTGTGGGTTCAATCCCCATGGCCGCCAGTAGCACTCTTGGTGCCAACCAACTGAGATAGTCAGCTGGATCCTCCCAGCCGGTATCAGTAAGGTCTTCAGCCAACACGGGTGTGAGTGCGTGTGTGAGTGGGTTGAGTGTGGTGTGTGGGAGGGGTGGGGGAAGATGAATAGGGAGGCATAGTTACCGGCAAAATGCTCGGTCCTTGTGTTAGCCGGGCCCCCACCAGCGGCCCCAACCCTGCACCCTAAAACGCTAGGGCAAGGGGCAAACATGCCCTTACCCCTCTCCAACGACCGAGAGAGGTAATCTCCCTTCACCGAAGAGAGGTAGAAAGCTATGCTTGCAGGGGTCCCCTGTATAGCCTTAGGAGTAGTGATAGGTAGTGAAAAGAAAGATATGTTCCACGACATGGCAGAAACGTCAGTTAAAAGAAAGATATGTGAGGTGAGAGAAAAATATATGCCTGTCCCCCGATGAGGAGAAGGTAGCTTTAAAAATAAAAATAAAAAAGAGATATTGACCGGCCCCAGGCAATTCAGAAATAGTTGGTTTTACAACTTCACTCATCAAGTTCTATCAGCTGGATTCGAACACAGGTCTGCATTTTCAACAGTTTGTGGGTGTACCGACTGAGGGCATACTCAGGGCCTCGTTCCACTACTCGCCATCCGCCACAAACAGTGGCGGGACTTGGCGAGGCCGAAAAGTGCATTTTTCTGGCGGAAAACGGCTCTTGGTTCCATTACATCGCCGCCGCCACGTGCGCTGTGGTTGCTGTCCCGACCTGCTCCCAGGTCGACGCAGGTCGACTGTCAGGACCGCTGTGTCAGGGGCCATGGCCACACGAAGCATTTCGCGGAGGGGTGAAAAGTAGCACCTCCACGAAGGGCCGTTGCCGGCAGGGGAAATGGAAAGCCTTGGCAACACATCGCCGAGTGATTTCAGACCCAAATACCGTGAGGGCACGGGTGCGCAGGCTGTAGTTCGTTTGTTGATGTGGTTCGGGAAGGGTAAGGTAATGATTATGCTGTATGTATGTTTTGTTGTGTTTGCTATAAACAACTCGAAGAGTGTGTGTGGGGTCCCGGTTGGTGCTTTATTCACGATGTTCATGGGACGCTGGACCCAGTTTCCAGCAGGTGGCGCTCCCCATCAATAGACAGGAGAATGTGTGTGAGTGTGTGACTGTGTGTGTGTGTGTGTGTATGTGTGTGTGTGTGTGAGAGAGAGAGAGAGAGAGAGAGAGAGAGAGAGAGAGAGAGAGAG